ACAGGACCCGAAGCCTCACATTCTACCCATTCTCCTTTGATAAAACTGGCCTTCGTTTTGCACCAGCCTAAGGATACAGGACAAAGCTCTTCCTCTGATCCATTCTTTTAGACGGATCAGCTGCACAGCTGCCAAGGCTATTGGGGGCGGGGACGGGGCGGGGGGGGGGGATAGGGAAGGCACAAGGACCTATGTATTTTGGGGTCCAGTCAGATCTGGATAAGATGTTACTCAGCACCTCTGTGAAGAAAGCATTCAAGAGTTTGAGGACTCTATTTTGAAGTTTAGAAGGACTCCAACAAGATAACCTTGGCTCCCCACCAAAGTATTCACTGGCCTCAAATGCAGTTTCAGTACTTGACATTTCTTTATTTAATCTTTTTGGCCAGACAGTTTTTTCAACCAGGAATGTGTAAGCTCATTCTGAAATGTCTGTGGGAGAGGCCAGTCACCTTCGTTACTGGGATTATTTTCTACCATTTCTCTTGCTTTAAAAAGAAAAAAGTCTGTAACCTTTTTTTTTTGCAGTTTTTGGCCAGGGCCAGGTTTGAACCTACCACCTCCGGTACATGGGGCCAGCACTCTACTCCTTGAGCCACAGGTGCTGCCCAGTCTGTAGCCTTTTGCTTCGTAATGGAAGAGCCCTTTCAGGGCATGTTTATATTTATAACCTTTTCTTGTTTGTTTTTGGAGACACAGTCTCACACTGTCACCCTTGGTAGAGTGCCATGGCATCACAGCTCACAACAACCTCAAACTGTTGGGCTCAAGAGATCCTTTCACCTCAGTTTTTCATTTTTAATAGAGATGGGGGTCCTACACTTGCTCAGGCTGGTCTTGAACTTAGGAGCTCAAGGAAACCACCTGTTTCAACCTCCCAGAGTGCTAGGGTTACAGGCGTGAGCCACTGTGCCTGGCTATATTTATAATCTTTTTTTTTTTTTTTTTGAGACAGAGCCTCAAGCTGTCCCCCTGGGTAGAGTGCCGTGGCATTACAGCTCACAGCAACCTCCAACTCCTGGGCTCAAGCGAGTCTCCTGCCTCCGCCTCCCAAGTAGCTGGGACTACAGGCGCCCACCACAATGCCCGGCTATTTTTTTTGGTTGCAGCCGTCACTGTTGTTTGGCGGGTCTGGGCTGGGGTCCTTAGGTGTACGTGGCTGGCGTCTTAGCCGGTTGAGCTATAGGCGCCGAGCCTATATTTATAATCTTGATTAAACCTCAAAATAACTCGGTGGGGATGGGCATCATAATTGTAAGGGCTGGCAGGCTTAAAGATGAGGAAACAGTGGCCCAGAGAGGTTCAGGGCAAGGTCACAGAATGAGTAATGACCTGGTCCAGGGCTTTGTGCTAAGATACCTTCACACCTCCACAGAGTGCTAGACATTTCAGGATAGTTTTTTCTGCTATTCTGCTTTTCCAGTCTCAATTCCTTCTCCCTTCCGAATGGACTGTAGTCTAGGCTACAAAGGATCTTGTCTCAAGAAAATGCCAATCTAATAGTCGATAAGTTTTGTCATCCTCCCAACCAAAGAAATATATTTTCCATCCCTTCATAGCTCCTTAGCTGGAGCTATGGTTTTAAGCAAAGGATTGGTTTTAAGAGTCTGCCTGTCCAGTTCCATGGTGAGCACAACAAAACCTGAAAAATGATTGTTTTGGTCCCTTTGTGCATATAGCACCTAGAGACTGGCAAGTGACAAAGCCAAGTCCAGTCTCCTTTCCTACTCCTCATCACCTCCCATATCTCAAGGCCTATCATTTTTTAAAAATCTTTTATATTTTTGTCACCTCTGCGATATAAATTATATACTATGAAACACATGGCTATTAAGAGTACTGTTTGATCTAAGTTTTGACAAATGTTTGGACCTACATCCAAATCAAGATAGCACA